TTAAAGATGGTTTAATACATTTTAAAGTAAATTTAATACATTTAGTTTTCTTACTATTCAATAATAGGTTATTGATACGGAACCAATGAACCACACACGAAATCGCATCATTCACTTCGTCATAGACTTGTAATTGTCGTTTAATTTTAAATAATAAAGATGTATCATCTGCGAATAATACGACCTCGTGTCGGGACTCAATAAAACTAGGTAAATCGTTTATATATATTAGAAATAAAAAAGGACCCAAAATGGAACCCTGAGGTACACCCATTTTCAACAAGGTACCTGAAGATCTATTACCTTTCACATCTACTGTTTGTATCCGTCCTGATAAATAGGAAGTAATAAGTTCCAAGCTACACCTACCAAGCTTCATCTCTGCACTCCCCTAAGGTAGACTGTTAAAGAATGCCTATGGCATTAAGTCCGCCTTTATACTTTCCAGTATAAGAAGTTATAAATAAATAAATAAAAAAGTTATATAGCCCAAAATGCAAGTTACGACATTACTGTTTTCCCCGTCGATAATAATATAGTAATTGAATATAATAACAGCGTCTTAAAGTTTGTTTTCAAACATAACACGGAAACGAATCAAATCATATCAAAACTAAAATCGATTACAATTCAGTAAATTATTCATAATATTCGTATCCTATCGGTTATTCGTACTAAGATTGTATAAATTAATAGACCGTCCATACGTATATTCGGATCATAGTTATCGAAATATTGAAATTGAATCCTTCGTCTAGTTTCAAAGGACCGTGGTATTTGCTGTTTAAATTATTCCATTGAGGGCAGGGTTCGGGTGGTAAAATTTGTAATGCAAAATTTCAGACGGCGAATAAGTGAGTTCAACAATGATTAGTATTATGCTCGATTGTATGTTTCATTGAGATATCTGTATAAAAGCTTTTTTTTTTATTGCTTAGATGGGTGGACGAGCTCACAGCCCACCTGATGTTAAGTGGTTACTGGAGCCCATAGACATCCACAACGTAAATGCGCCACCCACCTTGAGATATAAGTTCTAAGATCTCAGCATAGTTACACCTGCTGCCCCACACTTCAAACCGAAACGCATTACTGCTTCACGGCAGAAATAGGCAGGGTGGTGGTACCTACCCGCGCGGACTCACAAGAGGTCCTACTATCAGTAATTCAATACTGTGACAGATGAATAAACGAGTGCACGGCGTAATTGGCGGTTACTTGAACCAAGAGAAGTCATACTGTGAATGCCTTTTTTACGGGCTGCAGCCGATTCTGATACGAGGAGTCCGCGCCTAGGGGTCACGCGGTAAATGTAAGTCTTGACGTTCTACAGATTTTTATAGAGGACCGTAGCCTTAAGAATGTTAAGGCCCTACGCACTACACGTTTGAAGTCGTCGTGGCTTAAGAGATAAGACGTCCAGTGCATTCGTGTTGAGCGATGCACCGATGTTCGAATCCCAGGTGGGTACCAATTTTTCTAATGAAATACGTACTCACCAAACGTTCACGATTGACTTCCACGGTGAAGGAATAACATCGTGTAATAAAAATCAAAACCCGCAAAATTATAATTTGCGTAATTACTAGTGGTAGGACCTCTTGTGATTCCGCGCGGGTAGGTACCACCACCCTGCCTATTTCTACCATGAGGCAGTAATGCGTTTCGGTTTGAAGGGCGGCGCAGCCGTTGTAAGCCATACTTGAGACCTTAGAACTTATATCTCAAGGTGCTATGGGCTCCAGTAACCACCTAACACCAAGTGGACTGTGAGCTCGTCTAACCATCTAAGCAAAGAAAAAAAGAAGCTAGTTTTTATTCACGCACTCAGCTTCTGAAGCACTCGGGCCGCGTACTTTACTGAAAGATTTGTCATAATTATATATGAGAGTATCCGGGATGAATTATTCAAATGATTCGCGTCAGAAATAGCCAAGATGGTACCACAGAAACTGACCCACAACACCCCTTACTAGAATTTACTGAAATCTATAAATTCTGCGGAATCCATTTGAAGTATTACACGATTCCCGACAAACCTATCTCATCGACGTGATCCAAAGACCTAAGAACTCTTTTGAAATAAAATATCTTATCAAAGATCAAACATCTGAAATTGAAATCTTCGAACTCACCTAAAATATTGAAAAGAATTTCTTCGCCGGACTTACTTTGCGACAGACGCATCAAAAGATCGTCGTAAGAGACATCCTATTAATTTTACATTAAAGTTCAAACGCGAAATGTATTGGAAAATAATATCATTAGGAGCAATCGCTCTGAACGCGGAGCAAAAGTACTTTATTCGGATGGATGGAGGGTTGAAATTTGTTAAAAAAAAAAACAAATATCTCTACTAACACCGAAAAAACGTCACGGAATTTCGCTCTGAGCTTTTGCGTTTNCGTCGTAAGAGACATCCTATTAATTTTACATTAAAGTTCAAACGCGAAATGTATTGGAAAATAATATCATTAGGAGCAATCGCTCTGAACGCGGAGCAAAAGTACTTTATTCGGATGGATGGAGGGTTGAAATTTGTTAAAAAAAAAAACAAATATCTCTACTAACACCGAAAAAACGTCACGGAATTTCGCTCTGAGCTTTTGCGTTTCAAAGTAAATTTGATAGTATGAATGAAATTGAAATTTAGTTTAGACATTGTGAAATATTAAAAAATATGTTGTACCAGTTTTATTATTGCCATAAATCTTAGGCTACGTATCTTGATGATGAGTGTTCACCGATGTTCATGAACATGAGGAATGTCAAGTTCATGAATTAACAACATGAACTTACACATAGTATTTGGAATGCAAAAAAAAATTCCTATGAGTAAACAAAATCTTTTTAGTGCCTAGGTGTGTGGACGAGCTCACAGCCCACCTGGTGTTAAGTGGTTACTGGAGCCCATAGACATTTACAACGTAAATGCGCCACACACCTTGAGATATAAGTTCTAAGGTCTCAGTATAGTTACAACGGCTACCCCACCCTTCAAACCGAAACACATTACTGCTTCACGGCAGAAATAGGCGGGGCGTTGGTACCTACCCGTGCGGACTCACAGAGTTCCTACCACCAGTAAAAAGTTGATTGAAAATACTGCTAAGGTTTTAATTGTGGTATGGTGTATGGAGAGTTCGTGGGTCGTGAGATACATCACCCATAAAGGCAATAAAAAAATTAAAAATAACATAATCGTTATCTTCTCTAAGAATTAAAACCATGCTTTATACAGTTGTGGGCGATTTGAAGTCGTCGTGGCCTAAAGGATAAGACGCCCAGCGCATTCGTATCAAGCGATCTGACTGCACCGATGTTCGAATCCCACATATAGATAATAATTTCTCTAATGAATTACGTACTCAATACACATTCACGAATGACTTCCAAAATCAAGAAACAAGCACCGTTTAGTAAAAATAAGACCAGTAAAAATTATAATTTGCGTAATTAGTGATAGTAGGGACTGTTGTGAACTCGCACTGGTAGGTGTTCCACTATTCCGCCCAATTCTTTAGAGAAGCAGTAATGAGTTCCAGTTTGAAGAATGGGGCGGGTGTTGTAGTATGAATTGAGACTTAGAACTCATATCTCAAGGTGATTACCAACGGTAACCACAGCGAAACCTCCCCGAATATGTGTAAATAATCAAGTACATTTTTGAAACTAGTTCACGTATTGTAAATCTAATGCTATAGTATAAAAATAATTTTCATTGCTAAATTAATAATAACTAGAGGTCCCGCAGTAGTCGAAATTCGACTATAATTAATTGCAATTGTAAGTTTATAAACTATTATGATTGTATTTTATACTTCTATAATCACAAATTTCGCCAAGACTACATAAAATAATAACAAAGCAAACAATATTTAATCTCAATTTGATAACAGACGTCAAGAACAAAAGTTTGACAATAAATAGAATGCATGCGTGTATGCGTCAAATATATTGTATGTAGTATGTGTAATGTTTTATTTATTGATTTAATGTATCTTTTATGCATTATTTAAAAAAAATATTAGCATTATGCACTTCTTCTCTATATTTTCTATAAGTGTGGAAAATTTCATACTCCTCCGTCCGCGCAATTTTCGTAAAAAGGGATACAAAGTTTTTGCTTCACGTATTAATATGTAGATAATTAATAAAAGGAATATTTGTATTTTATTTTGTTAGTTGTACACTTTTTAGCCCGCTGTTTACCTACCCGACTGAGCTTAAAGTTTATACGTCTATTGTCAATTAATGGAACTCTTTGTAATGGTTTCCATAACTGTCCGATAGATGGAACGCACGATATATTTTCATTGTTTACATATGTGGACGAGCTCACGATCCATCCGGTCTAAAGCGTTTACCGGAAGCCCATAGACATTATCCACGTAAATACCCGCCTTGAAACATGGGATCGAAATCTCAGTTTTAAAGCACAATGGCTACCAGCCCCTTGGAACCTAAACGCATTATTGTTTCACGAAGAAATAGGCCGGGATTAGAACCTACCCATGCGGGTTCAAAACACGCCCTTAGAATCGGAAAGCATGACTACTCCGCGGCGATGGTGGTACCCTTACTCCTTACTCCACTCCTACCACACTCCCTTTTGCGTCATACTGTAAGCATTAGATCTTAAGGGTAGGGCGTCCACTGAAGATAGAAACACAAAAGTACTTTTTGCACTTTCGTTAGACTGTAAGTATTAGATCCTGGCGTCCACTGGAGATAGAGCCATTTCTGCCGCGAAACATCATTGGGTTCCGGTCCAAAGATTGTGGCAACCGTTGTACTATAGAACTTAGACTTACAAATCACATTTCAAGGTGGCTGGCGGCATTTAGGTTGTCGATATCCATGGGCTATGACCCTGGTAATAGGCGGTAACTACATAACACCATGTAGACCGTGAGCTCATTCACCTGTCTAAGCAATCAAAGAAGTCCTCCTTGAAAAATACAGGGATTTTTGTGCTAAATTATAAAATTGATAATTACCTGTAACAGCCAATAGCATCTGCGGTGGAAAGTCGGCAAAATGGCTGAGTGGACGTAACAACCGTAGATACACTGTGGACAACAAGATTGTATTAAAAACAAGAAATATAATGGCTATACACTATGTAGCACTACGGATAAAATATCGAAAGCTATGCAATGTAATTGACTGACGAGAACTAGTGAACTTTACTGGTGGTAGGACGTCTTGTGAGTCCGCACGGGTAGGTACCACAACCCTGTCTATTCCTGCCGTGAAGCACTAATGCGTTTCGGTTTGAAGGGTGGGACAGCCGTTGAACTATACTGAGACCTTAAAACTCATATCTCAAGATGAGTGGCGGCATTTACATTGTAGATTTCTTTGGACTCCGGTAACCGCTTAACATCAGGTGGGCCGTAAGCTCGTCCTCGTCCGTCATTCACGCAATAAAAAAAAAGTAATTAATAGAAACAACAAAATTGCACTTTTGCCGAGTTCTTATGAGATATCAGAGAGAATAAATATACAAACTCAGGTGATTTTGTTAAATATTTTGCCTCTATTCGTGGAATTTGGTAGATCAACCCAACTTTGAAATGAGTTAAAGCCCTCTTTTAGACTAATAATGTAACCATATGCAGCTAAACATTTTTTTATAGTGGGGCTACCGTCGCCCATGGACGTCAGCAATGCAGAGGAGGAGAGCGAGGCCTGGTGTTGAGTAAGTGCTCTTGTTACCGACTACGCTTGTTTAAATTCGAATAAAAACTTTCATAGCTTCATCATTTACCTGAAATATTCGTTTTTAATCACCCCATTCATAATCGTCGTCCTGTAGGACATTTATTGTAGACTATTTACAGAAGCGCCAACACCCAATCGCATATAAATATATACGTTCAATAATTTCGATGACAAAGTACCTGGAATTCTGAGCGAAAATCTTCAAAAGCCATAAAACATAATGTCATTTCGGATGGCTCAGCGAATTCTAAAAAATTCTAGTCTAGATCGTAGAACAAGGAGTAGCCAAGCCCAACGCGAAATTGGCACCTGCACTAAATTCGTTTGCCGAGAAAGCCTGTGCACATTATGCCGACTATGGCATAAGCTTACAGCGATTTGTGTTTCGAAGTCGTCGTAGCTTAAAAGATAAGACGTCCGGTGCATTCGTATCTAGCGATGCAACGGTGTTCGCATCCCGCAAGCGGGTACCGATATTTCTGATGAAATACGTACTTCGTAAATGTTCACGATTGACTTCCACGGTGAAGGAATAACATTGTGTAATAAAAATCAAACCCGCAAAATTATAATTTGCGGAATTACTGGTGGTAGGACCTCTTGTGAGTCCACACGGGTAGGTATCACCGCCCCGCCTATTTCTGCCGTGAAGCAGTAATTCGTTTCAGCTTGAAGAGTGGGGCAGCTGCTGTAACTATACTGAGATCTCAGAACTTATATCTCAAGGTGGGTGGCGCATTTACGTTGTAGATGTCTACGGGCTCCAGTAACCACTTAACGTCAGGTGGGCTGTGAGCTCGTCCACCCACCTAAGCAATAAAAAAAAAAATGTGTGCGTGTACTAGTGTACACACGTAAGAAGTGAAACTTGTTTATGGCCTTATTTTTCGAAAAATGATCTACATGCAACTTTCTAGAAATTGGTTAAATAAAGTTAAATTAGATAAAGTTTAAACAAAAGGATTTTATTATCATAGACATGAATACAAAAAATACAATTATTTCACTTTACCTTTTTGCTACTAAGATTATTACAGCATTTTAATAATACATCTCTTTGATATCATAATACCCTGGTACTTTTCTTCCTATAAATTAATAATAATAGCACGGTCCACGTGGTGTTAAATGGGGTTCCTGAGGTTCGTGAAGTTTGACCCACCTTGAGACATGAGGTCGATTTCTCAAATCCGAAACCATGCTTCAGAACATACCGCCGTTAATTATTAATAAATCTCTTTGCTATCATAATACCCTGGTACTTTTCTTCCTATTATTTTACGTAATAACAGTAATAAATAGCACGGTCCACGTGATATTATTAAGTGGGCTCCCTGAGATTATTGGAATTACAAAATGATTTCCGTAATCCACCTGGAGACATGAGGTCAATTTCTCAAATCGGAATCCATACTTCAGAACATACAGCCGTTAATTAATAAAGAAGGCTGTACGTCAGAGTAAAGTTATAATAATACATCTCTTTGATATCATAATACCCTGGTACTTTTCTTCCTATTATTTTACGTAATAACAATAATAGCACGGTCCACGTGATATTAAGTGGGTTACCTGGGATTATTGCAATTACAAAATGTATTCCGTGACCCACCTTGAGACATGAGGTCGGTTTCTCAAATGCGCATCCATACTTCAGAACATACAGCCGTTAATTAAAAGATGGCGCGTAACGGAAAAATGTGACGCGTAACCGAAAAATGTGACGGTAAATTTTTTTCCAACGCCGATAAGGAAGTTTCACTTCAAAAACTCATGTCAGTTCGAACTACGTATACACATCGGAAGTTAAGGACCCCAATGCCGTCTCAATACTATATGCCTAGGCTCGTGAAAACGATGAGGTTACTAACTCTGCATCAGAGATCTCATAAAAAAATGCAACGCCATTTTCAAGACCCCAGTAATATTATCAAGTTGTTAGCTATTACCTGCTAGGCATCGGCCAGTAGCAAATTTATTGTGTTTTGTAACTTTTTCAATGCCATACAGACTGACTGTTAATATCAGAATTACCATTAGCATTTTTTCCTTTTATTATTTAGAGTTCTCTAATGAATATTCTTCAGTTACGCTTACTAGACTAAACGCATGATCCAGAATAATTATACGTACCAATATAACATACTTGCCACTGATAAAATACCGAACATAAATAAACTTTATTGAGTTTTGAAAAAAAATAAAACTGTCGCTCTCCCTCCGCTTCTAACTTGACCCACGCATCTCAGTACTCAAAGGCAGCAGTTGCGCGCAATGTATTATTCAGTACTCAGCGCCTCTCTACGTGGCGACTCGGGGCGACATCTCCTGCGATCGACTCCCGCGATGATTTCGCGATACAACATCACGTAGCTTCATACATACGGCTTTTGATGGCTTTGAATTTACAAAGTCTTGCGATGTTTCGTATTTATTGAAGAAAAAAAAGAACAAACACCAATCAAGAGTTACCATGTCTAATTTAGGTAAATGTGCCTCAATCCTATTAATAATGTGGCTAGTCTTTTTAGCCGGTATTATAATAAACGGATTTCAATTATTGACAATAAGGCACCTTTTAAGCCCGCACGCTTCGATCAACAATAGTAACTAGATAAAGGGATACGTACAAAATTAAAGCAAAAACTGTCCGCGTGAATATATACTTATATAGCTACATTCGTTTACTAACAAACGGAGAAAAAAGTTTTGAAACACTTTTACGTTCAAACTAATTACAACTATGGCACCTAGTAATAAAGTCACAAATTTCCAAAACATTATCTAATACTTACGATCATTCGTCACATAAAACGAGCAAAGCAATAAATTACTCCTGTCACTTACCAATAAAAAGACATATTTTAAACAACTTTTAATGTGAAATCAATCTTAAAGGGCAACAAATAAAGTAACTTTTCCCTTAATTGCTCTGACAACTAACATCGTTTTGCTTTATTCATTTTTGCTTCTTGAAATGCCGATTTCTATTTACTACAGGAAGTAAGGGAGTCGCGCTGAACACTAAAATAATTTATTAATGAATTAAAGTAAAAGTTTAGTTGTTTACTTTTTATGTTTTGGAAATGTATGTTTGTTAGTATCTATACGTTACTTATTATTTTATTAGCGTTACGTTTTTGTGTAATATATATTTTTAAGTTTTCGCGACCAGTGCACATAATAAAACAACGTTTAAACGGTTTCAAGCGCGGTATTTTTATTACAATGTTTCGGCCACGTTTCAGTAGCTGTGAGCACGGAAGGCAAAGATGTCCAGTGTCAATAAGCGGAGATCTTAGCTGGCTTATAAAAGTCATCTCTTGTTTCTCTGGCGACAATCGGGATCCATTCTGCACACGTGATTGCTAGGAAAGCTAAAATAAAAATGGAAAGCTAAGCATCTAATGAGAGTCCAACAAACAGACACAAAAGCAGCATTAACCAATTTTAACCAACTAATTTTGAAGTACTGCTAACAAATTTTAAAAAATTATTACAACACAAATCTACTCCATGCATTTACTGTTCTGTTAAGCAAAAGTTTGTCCATGTGTTGGTCGAGCCTTGGCCAACATTTGTAGTGGTGGTTAAAAATCGGTAATTTTGTTCAAAATTTAATATTAATTATAAGTTTAAAGCTTAAAATATAGCTTATACTTCATATACTTACCGAAAGTAAGATACCCCGGCCGTTAAATTGCTTTTACGGGCCTTATTTTTGCAACTTTTGAATACACACTGCGGTATTGTGAGACGGGTTGACATTGGATGTGTTTGAAGTGAACTAAACAAAATAAGAGCGCACATTTTAAGTGAGCTGTTATTTGGCGAGACAGATTTTATGCACCGACCCGAAATCTAGTTACTATTGTTGATCGAAGCCCGCACGGGTAGTTTTTTTTTTTTGCTTAGATGGGTGGACGAGCTCACAGCCCACTTGATGTTAAGTGGTTACTGGAACCCATAGACATCTACAACGTTAATACGCCACCCACCTTGAGATATAAGTTCTAAGGTCTCAGTATAGTTACAACGGCTGCCCTACCCTTCAAACCGAAACGCATTACTGCTTCACGGCAGAAATAGGCGGGGTGGTGGTACCTACCCGCGCGGACTCACAAGAGGTCCTACCACCGGTAAAAAGTGTTTCGTATTTATCATAGAAAAGAAAAAAACAAACACAGCGCTTTATCAAGAGCTAGCATGTCTAATTTAGATAAATACCATGAGTGCCTCAATCCTATTAATAATGAGGGTAGCATTTTTAGCCGATATACAATAAACAGATTTGAATTACTGACAATAGGGCATCTTGTTAGCCCACACGGGTAGGTACCACTAT